CTTTGTTTAGATAGTGTTTCTTGGGACTGCACTGCTGGAAGATACTGGTATTCAGTAGTTGTAAGGGAAGAGGAGGCTTCTTTGCAGTTCTGGCATGTGCTGCTTGCATCGTAAATGGTTTATAGAAAACAAAACAGCTGTTAAACTCATGGACTGGCCATTTGTCAAGACGGGAAAGAGAGGACAACTTCCTGGTTATGTGCACATCCTTGGCTGATGGTGTACAATATTCTTTACTGTTTAAATTGTTTATTGAAAAGAAACAATTACAAAATTAGATGGAAGTGACCTAATTTAGAAACAAGATTAGATTACAGAGGGTTTCAGAGAAGTATTTCTCTGCTAAAAAGATAACAAAAGTTTCATACCAACAGCTTAACGTGTAGAGGAAAAAACATTTTGGTAACCCAGGAAGCTGCTAGGTAGAGTTTGTACCAATTTTCACTGAATCATTGCCTCTTCTGAGGCAATTAGCCTGTAACATGTGACGAGGTTCCTGACTAAATTATTGTTACACTTTTCCATCGCTGTCTTAAATCCACCTCCTTGAAAGGTGGTAGCTAGGTCAGAAGAAGAATTCTTGCATCAACCTAGCCTTTGTTTACTGTAGGGGTTAGGTTGACCTCACTACGTCACACAGGGTGTGAAATTTTTCACAGCTCTGAGTGATGTGGCTAGATCAACCTAAGTTTTAGTTGTTTAGGCCTCGGTTGCAATAGACTTATTTTTCTGTACCTAATGAAATTGTTAAAATAAGATTCTTCATACTTACAGATATTGATGCAGTTCTGGAATGTGCTGCTTGCATCATAAATGGTTTATAGAAAACAAAATTAAAGTTTTAAATGAATAGCCTTCTATTTTCCTAATTTGTTGAAATTCCCCACACTTTTCCCACCTTTTTCTCTTCTACTGAATTCCAGCCTCTTCTCCTTAACAATGATTAGAGTAAATGATAACCTCAAATTGCTTTCTGTTTTCCTCTTTTGCCAGTGTGGAGTCATAAGAATACTGCATGATAAGTTCTTTGTTTTTCCTTCAGAGATAGGTGATATCACAATGTTATGTCTGTCAGAAGATCTGTGGGATTCTTTGTAATAAGGGGGTTTTGGAAAGCAAATATTTCTAACATCCATAGTTATACTCCAGTAAGGAAACTGACACTAAGCCTAGTTAACTACATCTTGAGTCTTAGTATGTGAGTCAAACTTGTTATGGTGTGTGTGTGTGTAAAGGAGGTTTTCTCCCCCTTCCTCTTACCTAACCTGTTTGTCTTGTAGATCATGGATGCATATTATGATAAGATTGTCTGTCCCAAGTCTAGCGGAGCTACTTTCTTGGCAGTGTGTCGGGGAAAGGTAATGTAGAACAGAGTTTGTCATTCTTGAGAGCAAGCTGCTTTTTGCATTGAGTTTGGAAGACTGTAGCTCTTCCAGATACTATTTTTAGCAAAGAGAAATGTGTGTGTTTGTGTATCTATATATAATCACATGCATAAAAAAGCCCTAGTAAAATAAAGGAGCAAATGCAGACTGCATAGTTTTTCCAACTCTATTTTAAGTGCACAGGTCTGTCATTCATGGTTTTACTAGTGATACGTGCATAATCTCAAAAGGGACTGGCTTCATGCTTTCCTACATTTTCTGTTGGTTGCTCACAGAGGAGCTGTATTACTGTATGAGAGAGACTGTATTAGGCAAGACTTGACAAATGTTTCTGTCAGCCTAACATTATAAGGAAACAACTGTCTGAAATGTTGTGCAATTTCAAAAGATGAACTAAAGTTAGTTCAAACCCAGTGCCTGCGCTGGAGCCCTTCTGCCAGTTTTGGTGGTTTTATGGTCATGCTTTCCTATTTTTAGAAATTAATTTGATCCTCTTGAAATGGTTGTATTTGTTTTGAATGTTGAGGGAGGTGCCCCAGAAGAGGAGCACACTTTGTAAATAGATGTTGTTATTAATGGTCATCCTCTGGTGTATGGAAAGTTCAGGCATGAAATGTATAATTAGCAATTGGTGTGCTGGCAACACAGCCTGGAAATCAAGAAGATTTTGAAATGCTTACTATCTCAGAAACCATAGAAATAAGAGAGAAGCGGAGAAACCTCTCCTTACACACTTTGGCTGATGTGTTACTCGGTCAAGGCCTAGTAGTAGGAAAACACTGGGATGAAAACCCTGGCAATAAAAGTAAGGAATCCAGTTCAAACTGTTTGTTTCCACTACTCTCAAACTACAATTGTTAGATGTGTAATTTAAGGCAGAGAGGCCACAACCCCTGAACTGCTCTGAAATGTCACTTAATTCCCTGTTAGTGATTGAAAGCACTGTTCATCTTCAGGCCAGCGAAGGCTTGGACTTTGCAGACATGAACGGACGAGGTGTTGTTATCACTGGGCTTCCATTTCCCCCTCGCATGGAGCCAAGAGTCGTTTTAAAGATGCAATTCCTGGATGAAATGAAAAGACAAGGTTCAGGGGCACAGGTAAGATTGGGGAACTTTTTCGCAGATGCTTTTTTGCCAGTCCATTGTCTCATAGTTTCTCTCTCCAGCATATGGTTTTTCTGGCCATCTCTGTGGGGTCACAGTAAGCAAAACTGCTCTATCAGACCATACGAATTTGACACCCCTCTCCCACACCCCACCTCCTGCTGGGTTGTGCTGAAATGTTAAATTCTTCAGGTGATTGCACGTGTCTGTTTCACTTCACATGTGTGTGCACAGGGTGCATACACACCTGATGTAGACTGAACATGTGCAACACATCTCAAAGAACAGCAGTGACCGTTCAGATTAGTAATCGTTTTTTCCACTTCTTTTTAGTATTTATCCGGGCGTGAGTGGTACCGGCAGCAGGCTTCCCGGGCTGTGAACCAGGCCATCGGCAGGGTTATCAGACATCGCCAGGACTATGGTGCCATTTTCCTTTGTGACCACAGGTGAATTCTTGTGTTGAATAGAATCGGCTATAAATGATATACCTGTCAACATTTCTCTCTCTCTCTCTCTCTCTCACTCACACACTCACACACAAACTACCTGTATGTATAAGTGCATTACTATGACTGGTTGAAGAAGGCTACAGTTCATTAGTGATCAACAACGACCTAGGTATCATTCTCCCTAATAAGTGAAAACAACGTTCATGTTCATCCTCTGCTCTCCTTTCCCAAAATCATCTCTCTCCCCATTCCCTCCGTAAGGCTGGTAGTAGTATTAGCAGCTGCAGAATAAGCTGTCAGTGATTATTTGATTATTTATGTGTGTGTGTGTAGGTATATATTCTTTTTTTAATATGGTGTGACAAAATTCCTCCTCTATCTTGGTGGGTCCTGCGCTTATTGGCGGA